TTTTCTGTTTGCGACGAAGCTTCAATATTTTATTATCGCGTGTCGTGAACCTACGATTCACGAGCCGATGTTTGTTTCTCAAGTTTTATGTACATAAAAGCGGAAGACTGAAGTCCTGTGGATTTTATCTGTGGTTTCTTTATTTACTGATAAACTAGCCTGTGCTCGCCAGTTTATTGATTTCAGACACGTATCTCGGAGATTCGTACGCGCCTGCCAGTTTCACAGCGTCCGGTTCTTCGTGAAAACAGTCTGATAAAATGTAATTTTCCAAGCTGTCACTAAAATATAATGCCCGGTTATAATTTTCAGATATTCGCTCTGACAAATCTCTCATCTGCCCTGAATTCGGCGGTTTAAGTGCGTGCCAAAAGGACACAAAATTCGTGGCAGGTGTCAACTTTGCTGCGAGTGAGTGGTTAATAGTCCAGTTCTATCGCACGTTTCCTATTCATAAGCCTCTCTTCCTCGACTGCTCGTGATGGGATAACGTGACACAGTAGTAATCAATAAGCCGGCGCTTAAAACACGAGAAGACGACCCGCGGCCTTCTGCAGAGTAAATCGCCACAGGCTGTCATTGCACATTAAGACCTGGAAATATTTTGATGACGTCAATTTCTACCGGAAATGTTTCCGAAGCTTTGGTTTTGAGACGCGATTCCTCTGTGAGTTCTCAGACTCTGCCCGTTGTAGAAGTAGCGACCTCTGACATCCTTTTGTTCGGGACGCGCGACAATGCTTCAAGTTTAATGGAATTCGTAGTTTCTGTGTGTGTCGGTCTGAATAGAACAGAATCCTGAAATAGTGAAATCCGTCGTTGCCAAAGCATCTTGAGGAAAACTGCTTATTAAGTCTTTCTGAAACGTCCAATATAAATGACGAGATGAATGTTTAGTTCTGTCTGGCCGCTCGTGTCACGAAGAGTTTCGTCCGGCGAAAGAGTTCGTGAATTGAGCGACCAGCGACCACTTTGAGCGTTTTCTCCTGACCCCTTGAAAGCGAGTGGCCGCTGCACTCCGTATTAACGTGGTTCGTATATTTGTTACGAACACGGTAACGAGGTGTTGGGTTCTTAGTTTAATTATCCCCGTCGGTGGTAAAAATGTCTGGCGCGTGCAGTTCATTTGCGCATCGCCGCCGCTGCACAGTGAAGCTCTTTACGAATTTCTCCATGAGACTAGTAAAAAAAAACTTGGAGAAACACTCTGTATAGAATGTGAAATAACATGGCGACCCTGCGATGTTTATATTTACTGAACCGTCCTGTGCTGTAACCAGACGTTTCAGACCTGGGCTAGAAGTGAACGCGACTTTGTTTCAGACTTTACAAAAGCTTGGCTGCAGATGAACTTTGGGTGACATTTGCTCGCTCGTATCACCACTGCAGTCTTCGTCGAGTCAGTAGGGGATGATGGCGACCTATCGCGATGTGGGTTCAGGGCTGCTGCTTCGTGTCCTCGGTATGGCTCAGGGGCAGAGGCTGAGGTCGCGTTTAAGGGCTAGGCGATGACAGTCCAGATGGCACTTCAGCACGAAGGGCTCGCCCGGATTGACGGGAACCGCGGAGAAGGGTCTCGGATCCACTCATTCCTGAACTGACGGCTCTGTAGCTGTTGCGGACGAACTTACACTGCCGCCTTGAAAACGCGTTTCGAGGGTAAAATTTTTAAATGCGGAGCCGCTGGCATTTTCGGTCGTTCGACGGCGAAATCCAAAATGAGAATGTCACTTTACGTGCCGTGATAAAAGCCACGACCCATCGCACCACGATTTCCCGCCACTGATTGGTTAATTCTGACGAACCTCACCTCACTACAAACACAATAATCGTTTGCCTTTGGCTGAGCTGTCGAATGGATGAGGGCGTGTCCCCTGGAGGTCGTGCTGTTCCTCGCTGTTGCGGCCAGCGCTGTTTGCAGTCCCTCAGCTGATGAACCTGATTTCCCACAATCATACGTAACGGCCATAATAAATCCCGAAACACGTCTGTTAGAATTTGGGGTTGGGAAGGACACAGTCACATTGACGTATAACACAGTACTCGATACTTCACTTTTGAAACCATTTGCGAAATCCGTCTACTGCCAGCAGGTGGCTGGCTTCCTTCAAAGTCTGTTCAGCAGATTTCCCTTGAAACTGGTGAACAAGGAGCGTGCAACGTGGTCATGAACAGAAGTGACTGTAAAATTAAATAATATAAAGAAACATTAAATGCTTGTCTAGTTTTACCAATTAGGTACCTGTGAGCGTCTACAAACCCAATTTACCGTCGGCCTTGTGCCGGAAAATGTTTTAAGAAATTGAATTTTCGCACGGTATACTTAAAAAAAGTCAATATTTTTTCATAATCAGAATTCTTTCTACGCACACAATAGTTTCGTACAAAATTTTC